AATGTATTTAATATTTTACGTATTATACCGCACAAGAAAATATACATTTTTTTAATAACTACATACCTACCAACTTTTTAATAACACACTGAACATGTTTTAAAGAAACATGATATAACTCTTCTATGCAATATTATCAATATTATTAGCTTAATATACGAGTACATATACGTAATGTAATCCAATAAAATTGCATTATGTTTACTGCCCACGCGAGTTTATTTATAAAATAGTTATAATTAACGTGTCAATGACAATTAAAATTATTTCAAAGATTTAATTTCATTTGGTATCAAACAAATTGCCTTTTGACCATTAACTACTCTAATGATTTTGTGTTTATGACAATTAAATTAATTATTTTTTACTAATTCGTTCATGTTACGGGTTAGCATACACACACACACACACAGTCACTCACACATAAACACAAATACTTGGTACTTATAGCGTTTAGTATTTACGTAAAATTTTTAATTAATATGTAAACTACTCTTTGTTCTTTGGTAAAAAAAATACTATATATGTACAATAAATAGTTTATTATCTATGTTTATGATTTAATGAGAAATCTAGTATTTATAAATCAGTCATTCTTGAATAGGAGTGTATTTTTTATAAATATCTTTAACAGATCATTGTCTATTGTTTTTGGTCGTTCGTTTTCGATTCGGTCTTTGACCGATGTCGTACATGACAACTAGTGATGCACAACGATATCGTATTTTGATATCCATATCCAGTCTTGTAAAAAATACTTTTGAAAAAGTATTAAAATACTAATAATAGTATTCGAATAAAATAGTATTAAAAATACTTATAAAATACTATTATAAAAATGTATTTCACGAATACTCACTAAGTATTTGAATACAAATACAAGTATTTTTTTTTAATTTTATATTATATAATATTATAGTTAACCACCCCCCCCCAATAGAAAAAAATTGTGTCTATACCACTGATTATATATCAGTTTAGGTACCTATATTATGATACTAATTACTATAGATTTAACAATTTGAAAAATACAAAACATGTCTGACTATTTAGAGGTCATGTTCACATATTTCATTCACATATTATATATATCTACTAGTATTAATACAATTAAATGACAAAAAAATAAATAAAAAATGGTATTAACTATTAATATAGAACTATATGAAAAAATTTCCTTAAAAATTACAATAATAAACCCACATAAAATTGGATGTAGCATTTTTTAAATTTTTAACATTGTTATATACTACTTTTTCTGTTATAAATTTTTTTTGTGTTTATAAATTGAATCTCATTAATATAATGCTTTCTTTTTATATAATTATATTATAATATAACCTAGATAATGAGATAAAAATTTATCTTTGATACTCTATATTCATGAAATTAATAAACATGAAATTACATTTTTAGAGTTAAAACTTAAAGATTAAGCCGATAATATTATTTTACATTTATACAGGTATAGTTAAAAATAAATTACTTTTTAGAAAATAAATATTACCAATTGTAATTACAATATAAATAATAACCATTGCATATTTTAATAAATTATTTACATTATTATTTATTGATATTTGTCACAACCTATAACAATTAATACTTATTAATATAAAATTAAGCAAAATAATATTTAAAAAAAAATATATGATAGCGTTAAAACGGTTTGAAATTTAACAGTTTTAAAATTAGTAATATTATAGTAATATCTTATTATTTTATTACTTATTAGATTCATCAATAATAACCGAATATTATTCTTAGAAGTAGGAACAATTATTAGGATACAGAATTATTATGATTATACAATTATTAAAACGAACTTTGTGATATTTAAATACAAGTATTTACAAATTGTTAAAAATACTTTTAAAAAGTATTCAAAATACTTAAAAAATACTTTAAAAAAATTGTATTTAGAATACCAAAAGATACTTCAAAAAGTATTTTAATACATGTATTCAAATACTTGTATTCGAATACTTTACAAGACTGTCCATATCAGGCATGGCACTAGAATTTTTATCCAGGGGTGGCAGAGTGAAACAAATATTTTTTTTGCGTAGGCTAACATTTTTTCAACAAATTCTGAGGTTATTTAAATAAAATATAAATATTTTCGTATTATATAACATAATATAGCTTTTATTAATTTTGTGACATCTACCACGATTAGACGAAAACGAATAAATGGTAATAAATTATAAGTAAATAAGTATAATAAATATATAAAATTCAGAGTCTATCTAAAAACTTAAAACACAAATCTTTGAAAATACGAATTATTCCGTTTATAATGTAAAAAATAAATATTTTACAAATTCTTAAAAAGTAATTTCATAAATTCTTTGATGTGGCTCTTTTAAAAATAATGATTTTATTATATCATACATATTTTTTCAGTGGGAGGCTGCCAGGGGGGGCTAAACTGTTTTTTGAGGGGAACCCCCTCTTAGACGCCGTGCCCGATCGATATCAGTATTGATATAAAAAAATCAAAATTAAATTGTTACAATTTATATTTTTTATAATATGAAAATTTTTTTTGTTTAATGTAACAATTCTAACAAAAAATATCCACCAATAAAGTTAGTACTTACTACATTGTATCGTTTTAAGTTTTATAAATTATATCCAGAGGCGGATTTAAAACTTTTTTACAGTTAAAGGCTCTAGTTTTCTCATCAATTTTTTTGAGAGTATACTATTTACCATCAAATACCAAAATATGAATATTTAATCTTCTTCTTCCTCAGCTTTTACTGTCCTTGAAGGACTTTCGCTGCCTCTACTATTTTTTTCCACCTATCTCTGTCAAATGAATATTTAATAGAATACAAATATTTTTTTATGGTCTACAAAATGCGTATAAGTATATGAAAAAAAATCGAAATTAAACTTTTATATATTACAAGTTATATATGTATAAAAGTGTTCTTTTAAATATACCTTTTGGTATACAAACAATAGGAAGGGATGTGGCCATTCTATTTCTCAACCTTGTTGACATTTTCAGTCCCAGTCCGCCCCTGATTCACATCTAGCCTATAGCCTAAAAGCTCAAAAAAATAGTCATCCCAATTATTAAACGTAATAGTACCTTAATGCATTTTAATTATTTATAGCCTACTTTGGAAAAATCTTAATGCATAATTACCAAATTTTAATGAAAAAATACAATTATTATTAAATAATTATATATAAAATAAGGAATTTACAGTAGTTATTTTTTTTTTGACAAATGATATATTTTAATAAAGCACTATAACATTTTTCGTCCCCTAAATTATGGCATTCTAAACAACTTCTTACTCTGTCTCTTCGCCTCTGATTATATTGATTTATAGTTTTTTCGATATCATGATACGATATCGATATAAATGAACCGATATTGATAATTGAAAATATATTGTTTTGCAATATTTATGACAACCCATTAAAATGATCCGTGGAATTATAATTCGTATAGACTTTTCATCAGTTTACTATAGTTTTGACGGATTTATAATTCTATATAATCAAAATTAAAATCGTATTCTCATCAATTTATTTGTTCAATTTGAATTTCCGTTGTCTATTGCAAGAAATCAATTAGTAAATATAAGTCTACGATTATAAACTTAAATTTTAATTTTAATTATAATATTTATATATATTTATATTTTAAATTATAGTATATTTTAAACAAAATTCATGTTCCGAAAGTGTTCTATACAAGTTCAATAACGATAATTATTTTAGTTAGCTGGTTGCTATTTTTAAAATAATATACATTAAATATTCATTGCAAAAATAATTAAATTATATTAAACCATATTATATATATACTACAGTTGAGTGAGTTAATATTATTTATTGAAATCAATCGTATCGAAATAGACTAATTACATTTATAATTCCAATCCACAGAAAAAACAAGTTCAAATTAACTGAATTACTTATATAAAAAAGTGATTGATTATTATAATATATAAAATATTATGATTTTTCGTGAAATACTGTTAAACCTTATTTTTTATGTATGCGTTCGTTCTTAATGTAGATTTACTTGCATATACGAATAAAAAGATTCATCCTGCGTAATATAATCCATTGTTGGTACATAATTCAGTGTTTAAAAAGTAAGGCAATAGGAACATACATAATTTGGTGAGTGGGGTCGCTCTAATACGTTGTAAGAAGAAAGTCGAACGATTTCCTTGACGCTTAAATGAAAATAATACATTTCATTTTTAAACGAGCTACAGGTCGTTTGTTTTCCCCCGCAGAATATATTTTAACAATTATTTTTAGCAGACTATTCTTAAACATCATTTACCTTGTACACGTCTTATAAATAATACTCATGTACACATAAATGAAATAGTAGTTTGCGTGCATGTCGTATATGATGCGTTATGTACCTAGAAAGTTTCATAATCCTACACATGTTCGTCGTGAGGATTAAAAATCGCATAACATTTATGATTATCGATAATGTATGCAACTGTTTCAGACAAGTTTGACTGTTACTTTTTTTTACTAAATGCCAAGTTTCGTCAGTTAAGCGCATACACTTTACAATCGACTCTAACCGTCGGTGTCGTCGATCGTACGAGAAATATATCAAATAAATCATTATATCTTTTTTTTAATCTAGGACTTTCAAACTTTCTAGGCATGTCGCACACTTCACCGGTATACACAGCGATATAAGTATATTTTATATGCACACATATACATACACACATATATGTATATAAATATGCCTTCTGTTTATATTTATAAACGGGCTTCTGAAATTTTATAATAGTATTTTGTATTATAACTATTTAACATTAGTTGAAAATAAGAACAAATTACGACTAATTGCAGTCGTTGTACACACGAAAATTAACCTTTATTAATAGCAAAATATTACTATTTACTTACTGAAAAAATATTACTGTATTATTGTGTTTTTTCTGTACTCGTAAAAAATGCACCCAACTAAGTATTTTAAAATTATTTGTTTTCAGCTGCGTGTGGCATCCATGGTATCAAAATATGACACGCCGTCGGTGTTTATAAAGCACATATCTTTCGTCAACTTTACCAAGTAATGATGATTTTCTTCCTCCGTCCTATAATATTCGTTAAAATAATACATACCCTAACCTAACAAGTTACACCACTTATGCTGTGATTTTGAAAGTCGATGCCTGCGACGAGAGATTTTAACGCTCGTTCTTTTTGCAGGTTTTATTTGCCAGAACCCATTTACATAAATCTGGTCAGAGATCCCGTAGAACGGGTGATATCTTGGTACTACTACATCAGAGCACCGTGGTACTACGTGGAAAGGAAACACGCGTTTCCCGACACACCGTTGCCGGATCCGAAATGGTTGAAAAAAGTAAATATATTGTACAAATATAAAAAACGTATTGAACGAAAAATACCCGTTATTTTACGGCGCATGCACATTATACCATAAACGCGTTTAACCGATCGGATGCAAACGTCAAAACAATGACGAATGCACAGCGGGCATCGTTTTTTCTCTCTTATTCGCAGCAGTCACTTATGATCATTGTTTTATTTTTATATTTGAATTATTATTTCGATTTATTCATAGGACTTTGAGACTTGCGTCCTGCGCGGTGACCGAGAGTGTACGTACACGCAAGGAGAGAAACATGAAGGGATCAGTGACCATCGGCGGCAGACGATGTTTTTCTGCGGACACGACGAGGAATGCACGTAAGCGTATAGATTAGAAATTATGTTGTACATGATAATTATACATGGTAAGGATAGCAATCCTATTATATTATCCCTGGATGGCACGTAGTGGCCATAGATTTCAATGGCACGCGAATTATAAAAGTACTTTATTCTAGGATTACTGCCGCAACGTTTTTATTATTATTATTTCTTATATATTATTAAAGAATCTCATTTACTTAATATGTGAAACATTGTACGTGAAATATTTTTTAAAATTATAAACAAGAAATTTTAGCACGTATAACTTGAAAAACGTTTACTCCCCTGATATACGAGTATACTGTTCTTGGTATTGCAGCCGATCATTGGTTTAAATGCATCATAAGTACTCAATATTATACACATAGTTTGTGATGTAGACTTTTATAATTTACTAGCTAAGTCTGCCGTGATTGCTATCGATCTATTTTTTTTTATGCACCATCGGCAGTAAATATTTATTTATTTTTTATTCGCCAACGAATCGGTATAATTATTACGATACGAATTTCCAAAAGTGTATTTATTTACCAAGGGTCAAAAACGAAATATGCATTTAAATGCTATGTGGTAAGTATTTGTTACTGTGTTACAAGTCGATGAGATTATATATAAATAAAGATTACATTTCACCACACGGTTCTTATTTTATAACGCAAGAAACGTCAAATGACATCGTACACGAGCTTGCACGCGTTTGTAGTAATCCAACCAAACCTGATACGCGGACCGGTATAATATTAACGATTGACCTTTTTATTCATTTATTTTTCGTTCACCGTTGAAAACACGTTTTCGAAAACTGCAACATAATTCACCAACACTGTTGTGTGGAGATAAAACCATTCGCCAAAGGTTACCGTCGTCGATAAGTATTAGAATACATAAAGGTCTTATAGTACAATATACAATATATAATACAATATTTATAATAATAAATCAATAGTCTTGCTAGGATAAACATATACATACTTATTCTATCCATGCAACGTGCACGGTCGTACTGGTCTTAACACACTTATTTCCGAACATATAATGTTAAATATGTCATCTGCGATCGTTCGTTAACCATTATAAATAATACATAGTAATTAGAACGCATATTGTTTGCGATTAACATAAATGCATTTGCCGTGGCAACTATGTTTAACGCGTTTAACTGTCCTGTTAAGAATGTGATGTTTTCTCCTTTGGTCACGTGTATTCATAAGCAATAATGCTTAAATCCTGCATCACCTACACAAATCGACCGAGTGTTTTTCATTCGTTGCGGTCCAGCCAGTCATCAATCATTTCATCTTGGTTCATGAACACTAATTAGTTAGATAGGTGTTTATCTTGCATGTCTGCACATTATATCTTGCTAAGTTATTTGCCCCCTTGTTACCATATCGACAATAAATAAATTGCGGGCTCGTACCTAACCGTTGATATCAAAATCATCTTTTTTTTAACACCGATGATCCCCGAGCTACATAGAACCACACCGGTTTCCTTATCATAACGTATAATATAACGTCTAATATTATTAGAGACCCGTTTTTCTCAACAAACACGACGATTGTACACCATGATCAAAACAAATTTTTTTTTGGAAAAACAATAAAAATAGAAATGAAAACAAAAATATTCCATATCTTTCCGTTGTTAACTATATATATATAACGTTATTATTATAAAAATAAATAAATGAATGTTCCGTGTCGTTATTGTATATAACTCTCACCTTTGTAAAATAATTCAAGTATCATCAAGTGTTTATAATAACTGGTAATTTTTTTAGAAATCGAGAACACACTCTGTAACTATTGAAAACTATAGATACATAATGGACACCGGTCAGATCTCGGATGTAGGTTACTGATGGCTAATAAAAGTAATAAGGCTTAATGGTTACCAGCAGGGTGCGAGAATTAACGAAAATTAATATCGTTTAATCAAGTCGGTTTAGCCCAATTTAGGCTATGAATGATACGTACAAACTATAAACATCTACCGTAACACTAAAATATAATCTGACCGGTACAACTGTTTTGTAATTTTTTTCTTTTTTTCTGGTAAATGAACCCAGCACAAAAATATCGTGACGGATAAACAGAGATACCCTACTACGCACGTATCGATACAATGATAAGGTTCCACGACTTACCCGTGTTTCACCTCAACACTATAACCTGTTGTCGACGCGCATAATAATAATAAAATAATTATAATTATAATAATAATACTAATACTATTAATAATAATATAACAATCAAGGCTGGGCATTAACGAGTTAAAAATTAAAATTAAGTTAAAACGTTAAGTTAATTAACTCGTTACTTTTTTTACAAATTAACTTTTAACTTAATAAGTTATTTTTTTTTTTAAGATTAACGTGTTAACTTTAAGTTAATTTTATTTAAAAGTACCTAAATTAAGTTTATTTTAGTGCAAAGAATAATGAAAATTATTAAATGAGGTTTTTAGAATTTTTATAATTTACTATTTTAATATGAATTTTTTGTAGACGAAAATAATATGAAAGATAACTTTAATAGTCATTATATGGGCTATATTTTTATAATATTGTTATTGTATAAACGCTATAAGCCCATGGAAATCTTAAGATTATTCTGTGAAAATAGTAAATACCACGAGAGCGAGTGTCGATAGAGGATTAATCATAAAATAACTGTGGTAAAATTTCCAATTTAATTTCATTATTAAAATTGTAAGTTGATTTGAGTATGAGTTCAGGACTAAGATTTATTTTAGAAAAAGAGGTTTTTTGATAGCTAGTTAATACTTTTATGTATCATTTTAAATTTCCCCAGTAATTTTCTTGAGTGTACAAAAACTAATATTATGTATGCAATTTTTTATTTTTGCAAATTAGGAAGTTTTAACATTAAACTAAGTTAAGTTACTTTTTTTTCAAATTTAGTTTTTAACTTAACGAGTTAACGAAAAAAATATAATTAACTTTTAATTTAACTTAACTTAATTATTTTAAAATAACTTAACGAGTAAAAAAAATCATTAACTTGCCCAGCCTTGATAACAATAATACAATTACTCTACGCTACGGTCAGTACGGAAATTAGATGTACCTAAAATAATTAAGTAGGTACATGATTGATTAACCGGCTTTGTAGTTTAAATGCCATTATTTCACGCAGAAAAATTTAATTCGAAAAAGTCAGTGGCATTTAAGTACTTGTACAATTATGGTGTTTTCGTGCTGCACTTATGGCCATTGACCAGTATCCATTATACTCATCATACCAATCTATATATTATATAAATGGTAAAATTCTAAAATAGAGTTTATAAACTGGGCGGTACCCCCTTACCTAAAAATTACCTTCCTCTTTTCATCCAAAAATAATTGCATTAATTTCACTCACATTTTCGGAAGCATTGTCTTAAAACTATTTACTATTGATATTAATATGAATAATATATAAATTGTGACAATTACATTGTATTATTACTTTATGTTTCATATAACATTTTTTTACGTCACATAATTTAAAAAATACCTATTTATATTATATTAAATGATTACGATATTAATATAAGCAAATAAAATAATTTTTTGAGGAGAAGCCTTCTCTTGGGCGCTCATAAAATGTTGAACGAGAACCCGTGGATCATAAGAATGCGATTAATATTGAACGAGAAAAATAAGGAGTAACCGAATTAGTTCCCGTTTGAAAAAGGTATTTTATTAGGTATAGCCGATTTGGTTCCCGTTTAAAAAAGGTATTTTATTAGGTATAGCCGAATTGGTTCTCGTTTGTGTACAGGTAAAATAGTGACAATTTTAATTTTTAACGCAATTTACCAACAGTATTAAAATTAAAATCCAACGGACCAGTACATAGAGAGCAAAAAAAAATGTTAAAAGCTATATGTATGACATATATACACAATTATTATATCGATAAGATAGAGTATAGAAATATAAAAGACTATAGAATACTAGAGATTATCAATTGCTAGCAAACAGGAAATAAATAGCAAATACTTGGAAAATTGTATGACTGAGTACATTAATAAGAAGATTACGAGAATTAAATATTTAAAAAAAGTTAGCTTCAAATTTTCAAATCAGTGGTTTTAAATTGTATTTATGATATTTTATTATTTGTATTTCGTATACCTAAGTAATGATTAATTGACTTCCAAATCAACGATTTAAAATTGTATACATTTTATCATTTTTTTTTTTTAACACACATTAACGCATATTGTTAACCAAACTTACTTTAAAGTTGACTGGCTTAAACCTGTAAAATTGAGATAGAAAATTTGCATAATTAAACGGGAACCAATTCGGCTATACCTAATAAAATACCTTTTTCACACGGGAACCAATTAAGCACGTGGGTTTAAAGCTCAGAAACTAATTCGGTACCAGCCAAAAAATAAACTAACTAATCATAATTAAACGAAAAGAATTGTGCCATTTTTATTATAATCAATAACAAAACACATTCTTAAATTTGCCGGTGTAGGTCAGTGCCTATAGTATCTGCATATAAATACACCACTACAGGTAAATATTACTAAGCCAACCACTTAAAATTCAATATAAAACGTGCAATTAACAATGTAATTCATTAAGAGTTAAGTGAAAATTATTATTACAAATGGACAACTACGGTTAAAGCAACCAAGACCATTAACCGTGATCGATTATTCTGTCCAATGAATGACGTATTTACGGGGGGCTAGAGGGGACGATTGCCCTTGGCGGCATTTTTTTAGGGACAGCATCAGATGTTTACACATTCCATTTCATGTTGGTGAACAATAATATAAATTGGTTATTTTTTTTTTTATCTAAAATAATATTCTAAGATTAGAAATATTCATGGGAGGGGCGAACAAAAATTGTCGACGAAAAACCTCTCTTTCAAAACGTAAATAAGTTACTTGTGGTCGAGAATGACCGATGAACGACTAAACAGTATGGCTATATTAAATATTGAATCAGACATCACAAAAGTTCACAGTATGATGACATAATCAATGAGTATAGTTCCTTTAAAACTCGTAAAAAAAATATGTAAATTGTAAGTATTGTTTTGTAATAATAATAAATAATAAATAAACCTATTTTATATTTGTGACTAATTTATAAAGATAACATAATGTTTAAAGTTTAAACTGTGATTTCGTTTTCGAACAACTAAAAATTGTTTAATGGAAATTTTTGATTAAATAATCAATGGGAACTGATTCTACCAGAGAATAAAAAAGTGAATACATTAAAAACAAAAATGTAACTAATAAGTTAGAAAGCGCTTGAAAAGATAACGATAACGCAAAGGCTGTTATACGGCCTACGGATGGTTACTGGAAGGTAAGCTCCGACGCGATTAGTAGGTGGAAAAAGTTAAATAATTTTTGTTGGAGGGCGGGGGGCGGAAAAACGTTAGCACCCGGGAGCTAAATTTCTGAATACGTCTCTGATTCTGTCAGAATATTTTTCCGAGGCTAGAACTTTTGTATACTTAATTAAGTACTCTTATTTGATAGTATTATGGCTTTTATTTTTTTTTTTTTACTTATAAGGCAATTGGATTAAACAATAAATACATATTAATCTGTTGGTAACATATCAACGATAAAAATTATAATCTACCTGTATAGTTTGTATAGCTGTATTTGAGAACCTAATAAACTATATATAATATAATAATATATATATATATAATAAACTATTATAAATCGTTCATAGAGAGACTTTGAGTCAAAATTGACCCAAGCCCCCCAAAGATCAAATAATCAAGGGCCACACTGCGCTACTCGGTAACTCTTTTAATCAAAAATCATATTCACGAGTGAAGTGTAAAATGTTTCATTATTTATGATAAGCCATCTTAGAACACAGAGTGTAACAACTAAAAGAACTACCAGAATGTTTTTGTGATCAGTATGTAGAATTAATTTCCTAATATAAAATGTATATATTTACAGTAAAATTTCGATAAGACGGAATATTTCTTTGGTCTCGTTTCTAATACATAATAAATTCATCTCACCAAGACGGAAATATCACTAAGCCGGACATGTTTCCGTATAATAATTAGCTAAAAACTCTCACTAAAACGGAAATATAACATAAAAACCAGACTTGGAATGACCGACAATTTTACTATCGTATTGCGGTATCCTGATTGAAATTAAAAACATCTTTATTGCTATTAATGTTGACTCAGAAAAATTTCTTCACTTTAATGATCAACTTTGAGACACAGCGAACTAATTTGCTACATCCATGGTTGAGGATCAAGGTAAAAATGTCAGAGACTAACAATGACAAAAACTATGAAGAACCAGAAAATCTGATAAAAGATTACAAAATTGCCATTTGTTAGCCAAAGAACTACAAAAATTCTCCCTAACAGTGTCCAATACTATATTTTGAATTTTATTTCAAAAGTTTAAGTGTATATAACGTGACATCTTTCGAAGTAAAACACAAAAATCAATCACTGACGTTTTTCAAAAAATAAAAATTTTATCATATACCTATACTGGTTTAAAATTTAAAATTTTTAAATTAATTTTTTTTTTTGTTTTGAACCCTGTCAAGACGAAAAAATGTTACGTTTCTGAGCGATTCTGTCTTATCCAGGTTTTACTAATACACTATCCAGGTTTTACTAACACATGTATAATCATTATAAAGGGGCTACTAGCATAATTCTGCCCAGGACCATAAAATATCTCTAAACGAGCCTACAGAGCTACAGGGGTAACTACACGAAAATAAGAATGACGCGCACATGTAGTTAGAGCTAGTCAACAATTGGCAGAGAATGGATCAACCGGAATACCTTGTTAATAGAAGTAAACGACGCGCGGCAGGGGGTTCTGATCGATACAAATGATAATTGGATAAATGGTTATAACTCTCATATCTTATTCGGACCAAGCCCGGGTTAAGGGGGGGGAGGGGGCCCACAACGGATATCAAACAATAGTAGGCCCCCGGCAGATAGCAAGTTTTTTTGTTTTTTATTTCTTTTTTTGCACGTATAAAAAAAAAAGTATAGAACGAGCAGTTCTCAAGCAAATTTAAATAGTTAATTGTTTTGTGTTCAGAGAGTAATGTTTTGGAGGTAATTAATACCAATTATATAATTAAAGGGTTTGCTTCCCAAAAAAAAAAGAAAAAATTATTTATACAGTAATCCCTCGTTATCCGCGAAGGTTAGGTTAATCTGCGCGGATAACGAGACCATAAATCAATGTAAAAAGGGAAATTAGGTTTAATTTAAAAATGTATTATTAATCAATTAATAATTTTTTAATCTATACAACTGATTTATTTATTATCTATCGCATTGTTTCTTCATTTTTACGTATTTCTCGAACACTAGACTCATTAATTTTGTATGTTCTAGTAAGTGACGCTACAGTATCACCACTTTTCAATTTGTCCAAAATTTTAATTTTTTGAACGAGTAATAAAACTTTCTTCTCCTTTTTATTGACATTTTACATTGAGAAGCCATTTAAAAATATTTTAATTACTAAATTTATTAAACACTACTGTACACGTGTCACGCACAAATATCACCTTACAACTGAGTAATTGACGATTATTAATCGTGCATGTGTAGCTAACCTTTTGTGGTTTATTTGCAATAAGTATAAGTATGTATAATGTTTATGTGTTATACATATAGCGATATAACAACAATTATCTACAATTATTGTCAAAAATAAATTTTTAGTGTTCGTATAATAACGGTAATACGTTATCGCAATCGCATTAATATGTTATCGTGGACCCAACCACGGATAATCGAAACCGCAGATAACGAGGAATTACTGTACAAATAAGTTTTATTTTTGTATTAAAAAAACAAGAAATAAATTTATAAATTAGAATATAATTTTTTTTTGTCTGAAATATATTTGTATGGGTCATCAATATTTTGATTATGGTTATTGGCCCCGGGCCGCAAATTACCATAATCCGGGCTTGATTTAGACTATAGTACACCAGACTTATAGATAATAATAATAAAAAATCTGTCCATACATGTCGTACGGTTCTAACGGTATTAATATTCTGGAGATTTTACAGGCCAATATTTTTAATTTTATTAACTATATTCTTGAGAAAGTTATTCAAATGTTATAATAGTTAACCAAATATGTGAAAATTAAATATTTTAAAAATATCTTGGAATTTAAAAGTTTGAATCCAAAAGATGTGGCTTCCTAACAGTTCATTATGAGCCAAATGATCAGTATAATTGGTCAGTTAGCAAGAAGTTATTTAATAAACTGATGAATAACTATTTTCGTTAGTGTGCAAATGTTGATAACACGATTTGAATCCAAACCATAGAAGCAATAAAATATTACTATTTATTTTTATATCTAACGAAATGTAACTTTTTACCTACGATGCTTACCGATCGTGAAAAAAAAATCAGAAAAATCTCTTACACAGCTTAATCCTAAGTAATAAGAAGAAACTAGTTTTCAACAAAAATTGATTGATATTATTTTTTAAATAAATCTAGTCCGTTCAATTCGCAAGGAGCGTTAGAGAGAGCAAAACGTTCGGTGGAACAACAATATGCGGTGGTTGGTGTATTAGAAGATTTCAACGTCACTTTAACTGTGTTCGAACATTACATACCAAGGTTTTTTAGAGGAGCGTCTAATGTGTACTATGGTAAATATTTTTTTATACTCTTAATTTTATTAAGAGTATTAGTAATAGACAAATATTCAAGTAAAAATATGTTAACAGGCGAAATGGGACTGCATAAGGTCAACCAAAATGCATTCAAACCAACTGTCAGTGAAGCTGTAAAAGACATAGTGAGACAAAATTTTACAAGAGAAATCGAATTCTATCAGTTTTGCAGACAACGACTATACAGACAAAGATTAGCATTAAACCTATAACACAATAAAAGAAAATTAAAATAATTTAAAATAATAAAACTCTAGAATTTGATAAAAAAGTTCCTTATACACTTCATTTTTTCCCAGCAACTACTTTTTTTTTATCATATAACTAGATAAATACAGTATATAGATTAAATCTATGGCATAACAAGTAATATATAAGATTAAAATTATTTAATGTATTTTATTTTTACTATTCCATAGAATAAATACACTTTATTATTACTATTTATCAATTATCAATTATCAATTTTTATATCAGTTTTTAAACAAAAAATTGTAAAAATAATAATAAATAAATACACTGAACATTAAAACATTATATTAGGCCGTGTTAGCATTTAAAAATGTAAAACTGCTTTAACAAATTAAAAGGAATGGTGCAATTGGAATGTAGGCTTGTTTAAAAACACATAAACCATTTTTTTTTCAATTATATTATCAATTTTGACTAAAACATGTATAAATATACAAAAACTGATAATGTGACATGTATCATTTATAAGGTAAAAACCATTTATTTTAAAATATTAATGAACTTAAATGTATGTACATATAGACATTTAATCAATCAATAAGTCAACAATTATACTTATATTCATTAAAATAAACTATTTACAATGTAACTTTGGACTTTTTGCGGGCAATGGCATCTTCCACAGCCTTCAATTGTTTCAATAACTCTTCTCGTCTAGATGGAGCTACTCCTCCTTTCTTCTGTTACCAAAATAATGTTAAATGAAAAACAATAACATAAAAAAACAACTTAATTGTTGTTAATACAATAATTTTAGTGATAAATAATATGAATATATAGAATGTGAAAATATAATAACTGGTACCTAATAGAGTAAAATTAATTTTTGGCCAATAAACAAACATTTTTCTGTCTATAATCCAAAATAACTTTTAAAAATATATATAATTGTCTTTATTTATAATCTTCATCTATAAAATATCAGGTCCTTATGGTTTTTATCTAGTAATTATAAAAATTGTATTTTGACGTTTAAGTAAAAAAATTATCTTTTGCTAATTTTATATCTTGATATCTATTCAGTTTCAATTTCTACTTCACAGATAATAGATGTAACAGTTACAGATCAAATAACATATATAAATTTATAGTTCATATTAAAAAAAAAAAAAAAAAACAATTTTCAAACATGAAAAACATGATAGATTAACTGGAAATACAGTGTTTCTAAATATGTATTGCAAAAAAATGAACTCTACCTTTATAGTTATTATATTAAATAAGTATTAAGTACACAAATATATTTTATATATTTATTTAAATAATATAATTTTATTTTAAATTACAAACATAACTGTTGTTTTTATTATGCTTCAAAAATTAAATTTGATTAAATTTTTTTCTTCTCATGAAATGTAACAAAATATCAGTAACAACTTTCACCAAGTGTGAATTTATACAATAGCAATGCATATAATATTTTAATATAAATTAGTCCTGAATTAAATAGGTAGAAAATGTATTGATTTTAATTAAAGTGAGTAATGTCAATATTTTTAAATAATGCATTTTTTCATTTTTTAAAAGTGGTTTTCTAGTTTCCTAAGGTTAAAGGAAAATCTTTCCAGGATCGTCGTCAATTCTAATGTGAAAAAAAAAAATAATAATAGAAAAATACCTACAAAAATTTTTTAATTTAGTCTTGCTAAATCATTTATGTTCCTTTTAATTATTTAAATAACTAAAAAGTTTTAAGCAAAACCAAAGCTAATATACCTGTGACAAAAGGTAATCATTTTTTTTTGGTCATAAATTAATAAATAATAAAAATATTTGGAGATGCTTACTCTGGGAGGAGAGGAACCTTTGGTCTCATCATTATCAGATTCTAACGATCTCTTCTTTCCCTGAACAGCAAATTTTTCTGTAAAATAAGAAATAATTTATAATTCTACTTTTAGTTTTAATAATAAATTGGAAGTTTTAGAAATTAACCTTTTTTGACAGGAACAATAAGAGGAGCTGCCATTTTTTTCTTAAGATTAAGTTTAATTTGGGATTTCTGTATTGTTTAAAGAAAAAGAAACAAAATACAAATTAAAATATATAATATATATATTAAAATTAAATTTATATTTACAGTACATACTTTAAAAGTCCCTTTTTTAACTAATTTATCAGGAGATAGTAACCCTTGTTTTTTATGTTTTGGACTTCCACCTTCTTCAGATGAAGATTCAGTACCACTTGAATCAGATGATTCAGAAGAGCCAGAACCAGACGCAGATTCACTGCTTGATGAAGATGAAGAGGTGTGAGTAGTAGTAGGAGATTTTGCTCCACTTGTTTTATTTACAGCAAATCTGGGTGGCATTGGCATTTGTCTTGCTCTAAACATAAGGTATTGAAATATTTTACAATTGGTTATAAACAAAATTATTTACCTTTGTAAAGGTGGAATAGAAGGTGTTGCATTTGTTGGCGAAACAGACCATCTATTAGTTGGCACTGGAGGATTCATTGCTCGGCTCATCGATTTTTTTTCAAATGCATCTGGTGATGGATTTCTCTCTTAAAAATAAAAGAAAAATGTATAGAATTAAAATTTTATAATGATTTAAATTAATAAAAATTTTCCTGGGCATAATGATAAAAAAAAAAACCTAAGTCATGTAATTTTGGTATAATTTTGAAATAAAAAAAATTAATATTTCTTAAATATATTGATAAAATTAAATGATATATTAATTTTATTAATTAAATATTAATAAAAAATTAAAAGTACAATTTTAAATGACAAGAGGTCATTCCAGACTCATATTCAAAGGTGATGAAAATGCACGGTCAGTCATTTTACATCACCCACATACATTTTTATTGACTTAAATTATCAGCTGATAGTAAAGATAGATCATTATACTTGATATAGTAATTAAGTATATTTATAAAAATAATTGGTTCTGGTTTTTTTAAACTTTTTTGTGTTTATTTAGTGTGATAATAATCAATATGAATATGGTACAGCTAAGAGTTTTCCAACTTATGGATTGCGGCCCAACATTGGGTGGTAAAATATCTTTAATAGGTGCTATTTGTATACTAATGATAAGGAAAATGTCTTAGTTATCAAAATATAATTATATACATATATATCAGAATTCAGTTCTTGCACTATTTCGTTCAAGTATAATATAAAATATATAATAAAATGATTAGTAATGTCATTATATTAAAACATACTAGATTTTTTTTTTTTTTTAATGATTGTTTACCCAACATATAGGACATTTATGTACAATTTTAGCAATAAAGTTAGAAAACACTGATATAGCTGATATATGAGTATCGTATATGAATAACCTGGGTAAGTATGATATGTAAAATACATGCAAACATGAATATATTAATTAAATAAAAATCACCTGGTTTTCTATTTGGTTTACGACCAGGAGATGTTTTAAATGATGTAGGTACCTTCTTTCTATTTTTACTCATTGAATTAGATCTACCTCTAGATCGACTACGTGAGCTAAATGTTGTTGCACTTGAACTACTGCTGGATCTAAAAACACCACAATATGGATTTATATAACTTAAAAGATTAATATGATCACAATTTAATACCTAGATGATGAAAATGAAGAATGAGATGAATAAGATTTCTTTCTTCCTCTAAGTTTAGACCGACCTCCAGGGGATTTTGATCTCATCCATGGATCAGACCAATCATCTCCTCTACGGGGCCTGCTTGATGATCTATCTCTTCGAGTTCGATGTCCTGAAGGTTGGGGACTATAATAAAATATTATATTTATAGTTAAAAAAAAAAATCAAGGAGCAGTATTTAATTATTATACCTGTATGATTTCTCAGAACGCTGCACTATTACTTCTCTATTAGGTGGATATTTAGGAGGTAATCCTCTATGATGAGGTTTCAACCCAGGATGATAATATGGGTCTGGTGGTGGATATGGATAATATGGATTCCTTCTAGGGGCTGGATGAAAGTCTATTGGATGTCCAGGAGGAAAATGAGGAAGTGGACGACCATGATGAGGAGGCCAAAACTCTGGTCGGTGGTGATAAAAGTCTACAGGTGGTGGTATAAAATCATCCACATAAGAATCTGGAAGTGGAGCCCGAAGATGTCGGGCTTCTAAATCAGTTTTACTGTAAAAATAAAAATAAAATTAAGTTAGTTACTCAAATTTGTATTTATTTAGTACTAACAATCTTTCAATAGGCGGGCTTATAGTAGGTGAAGCAGTTGGACTAGTTGGACGTTGCGAATAGTAATCATTCTCTTTTTCAACTTCTTCTTGATTTGATGTTAAATTCATTTTTTTCTCTTCAAAGTCTATATCTGTTTCTTTTTTCTTATTAGATTTTTTAAGTATCTAAAATTATAAAACAGAAATTACTATTTAAATATAGAACCGCCTAAATTTGAGTCTACCATATTGAAAAGTTCATAAGTTAAACCAAATAGACAAAAAAAAAATTTTATTTAATTAACAAAAACTTTATTTCTTTCAAAGCTTGTTAATAACAATAATAATCTAATATGAAAATTGATTGTCTATTTGTAAACAATGACAGATGATAAGTGATGTACTTTACATTTACAAAGATTTTTTAATTTTTAGAACATTGAAGAAATTGATTGTATATAATTCATTAACTATTCAATTTATTATAATTACCTACTATGAATAATATAATATTTATAAGTTCTTATGATATAAAATTTAGTATCTTAATGAGTTCAAGTAGATTGAGTGATGCAATAATACTAGGTCCCAAGAACTATTTTACATTTAGTTAGATATTTTAGGCATGTAATATTTTTATAATATGAATTGTCATGATAAGGTTACAATAATAAATTTTTTAAATTATTTTTTTATATAGAATGAAATTATATATAACACTAACATTACTTCATGGCTACTGAAAGAGATGAAATACCGCATTCTCATAGTAAAACAGTTAACATAATGTTTAATCGTTTTTAACATTTTCTAATGTCTCAGGTAAAATATTTCGAATATTTTATTCAATTTTATCACGAAGATCAGGCAATGAACACGACGGATACACAAGATTTTTCAAATAACCCCATAAAAAAAAAATCTATTGGTATTAAGTCCGATGACTTAAGAGGCCAAAGCACTGGATTATTGAAACGTGAAACAATTAATATTTTTGTTCTAATTATTGAAAAACATAACTTGGTCATTTTTTATTCAATTTTAATATATATAATTTTTTAACTGTTTTAAAAAATATGCTCAAGAAAATGGCTATTTAAAAAATTGAATATTCATAAATGGATAAAAAATTAAATTTTATGCCATTCAATCAGAATTTCCATACTAAGAATCGTAAAAAAAAAAAAAAAACCGCATTTAAATATATTGATTTACCGATATTAAGGGTGATACAGGACTTATGGGACATACTGTATATATTTATAAATTATAACTACAGCAAGCTTTATCTAAAATAATATATACAAATATCAAATAGGAACAGCTGCTATCAAAATACAATGATTTTCTATAAATACTTTTCTAAGAAAATAACTCAATGATTATTGAACATTCAATAAATTATTTTTTTATTCAATAAACATTTTTAATGCTATTTTATTATTATTAATTTTTTAAATTATAATTAAAAATTAAAAATCAGAATTATTTTCAATACTTTGCTTTTTCTAAATTTATAATTTTATAAAATTTGTGCAAATGAAAATTTTGTATACAAAAATAAAATATAAGTGCATATTTATACTTTTTTGAATGCATAAGTGTATTAAGTTCCGAGCCCTAGTAATTAGTTTGCAACATAATACAATTATAGAAATAAAATGCATACACGATAATCTGATAATACTACACGAAAACTTATTTTTATGTATCTTAATATCATATACTTATGCCCTCAGTAACAAAAAATAAAAAATCTTAATTCTTGAAAAAATTATTTAATGAAATGACAACAAAATCAAGGTTTCTAAAAACATAGATGAAAATATAGATATCCCAGTATAATTAAGCAATGACAAATTTTTTGTTCTTCACCAGTAATTTGGTAGCTTCTATTTTTTTTTTTTTGTCTTATCATTAACTTTAACAATTTTAAAATAATTATTAGTAGCAAATCATGAAATTATCTAACGAGGATCCATAATATCTGATTTTATTTTGTACTACCACTACTATTATTAAAATTATTATTATTAAAGTAACACATAGTTATAATTATTAATTATTTTATTATCATTATTACTTTTTTTTTTAATTTAAATTGACTTGAATTTAATTTAGACTGCAACTGTAATATATTTTAAAATGATTTAACACATTTATTTATCAAAAAATAAATCAAATATAAAATAAAATAAAGTGTTTAGTTTTCATAAATTTATCTCATAATAAGAACTAAATATGTTCAAGTTAATATGAATCAAGGTAAAATTAATAATAGAAAACAGTCCACTGCATACTATCTTTACTATCATACTATTTTTTATTGTAGTTGTACTAGTGCTAGTTTAAAAAATATTTTCACATTTTTAGTCTATCCTCTTTGAATACTATGATTTAAGTGTTCATTTACCTCTTTAGCTTGACGCAATCCTCTTTCCCAAGCAGATTCCACAGGAGGTACATCTTTTTTAATAGGAGCAACTGGAACTCCAGGTATCTAATTGATGAATTATTTTTGTCAATAAAAGTTTTAAAATCTTTTACTAACGTTAATAACAATATTTACCAAAGTTCTTTCATGTCCTCGGAAAGAATCTGGTGGATAAAATGGTAGATTGCCAGGTGGAGGTACTGGACGTACCATTTCAAACATTGAATAATTGCCTTTGTCAGCAACGCCCGGGTGCAAAAATCTAGATAGACCATTCTTGATAGATTCATTTAGGTCTATTTACATTTTTACCATCATATTACTCACCGACAACTTGCACCCCAAGTACATTGACCTCTTGAATAAAATCGACATATTGGCCTAGGTTCTGTTTCTTCTGGGCGATGTTCCCCTTCATCAGAAACTTCACCTTCTTCTAGTTCCTCTGGTTCTTTTACTTCTTCAACTTCAGGAACTTCTTTGACTGGTTTTGGTTCATCACATTCTCCATCTTCACCATCTTCAGCTTCAAAATCCAATGGTTCTTCAGGATCATTAACAACATTAGGTTCCGTTTTAGCATCTAAGTTGTTATGACCATTAACTGGAAGAATAGTATCTTTTGCTGGAGAATCATTAGTATCATGGTCGCTTTTCCACTCCTTAGCACTTTTCTAGAATAATAAAAGATTAATATACATATTTATTAAATGTATTATAATAACTTATATACTTGGGAAGCATTATCATCATTTATATTGTCCATTGAGTCTTCATCAGATACATCCGATAAATAATTATCTCTGGGTTCTTTTGGCTCTTTATCAGATTCATTACTTCTTGATGATGCTCTTGAGTGACTATTTCTGTCTGGAGATCCTGCTGTTGAAGAGGCACGGCTTGATGAACTTGATCCTGAACTTGGACTTTGCAGCTCATCACTTTGATGTTCAGGACTACAAGATTCGTCAGCAATACTTTTAGATTTTGATGACAAACTATCAGGTGATTGAGGATCTTCATGTTCTTGCACACCATTATCTATACTTTGAGATCCAGATGTATTATTGTCAGGACTTTGGGGAGCAGAATTATGGCTGGATGCCGAAGGCGAACCGCTAACAGATTGATCTCTGTTAACATTGTCAGGCGACGCAGATTGGCTTGAAGCATTTGATTGAGAGTCATCAGAATTAGAAGAATTTTCTGATTCCATTTGTGCACGTTATGTACACAACACCTGAGCATTGATAATATAAATTATTCAAGTTGAAACATACGTAAGAAATAAAATAATAATATAAAGTTCAGGATAAGAAGCACATATAGGTGAAATTTATCTAAAAATAATTTCCTGAACTTTAAACAAAATCACGGCATATTATATCAAGAAAGTTTAAATTAAATAAATGATACAAACTAAAATAATTTAAATTCAATATAAGGACCATTAAACCTTTATAGCCCGCCCAAAGATCGCTGTTTTCTGGTAGATCTTACCTTCCATCGCAGCGAGCATATCGAGGTGCCGAAATATTTAACGGGAACACACTTTTTGTCGTTAAATACATGACTTCAATACTTAAAACAAAGTTTACGGAAGACAGAGCTACACGCGATTGATGACTGTTTTTCACGACACAAACTGATTTAAAAAAAAAACTAAATCGAATATCGGTATATCGAAATGTACTCACGGATTGAATTTAAAAACGAATTTAAAATATTGTTAAAAAAAAAAAATTGTTTTCGCTGAAAACTAATGAAAGAGAAAGAAGATAAAATGCATAAGTACATATGAATTAGATATATATATATTAAATATTCATAGACACACATATACATAATATACAAGGTTCAGAACAAAATAAAAATATATTATAAACATTATGTTTAAGTGTGTACGATATGAATACGTAATAATATCAAGATAACATTATATTATGTTATATTATTATAATAATTGTGATGTTGGCGTGCCCCTGGGCATAAACCAGCATCATCACGGCGGTTCTTTTACGAGCGCAGCTTACCTTGGCTAGCTGCTGATCGAGAGTCGATGGCCTATCGCGACAAGAAAGGACAACGCTCGTTGCTGACGGCAATGGTGGTCGTCGTCAAGCTGCGGCGGAAGGGTCCGACTGAAACATGGATACAGGTTCTCGGACAAACGACGAAGACGATGGCGGTGACCCCTAGGCGCGCCACGTGCACGGTCGGTCGGTGGTGACGACTGTGGGATGCGACACGTCGAGCGAGTGGAACAACGAAAGAAATAAACAAAACCTAACAAATAAACACCGGACGGTTTAGCGTAACGCTGTGAACACACACATATCACGACGAGCACAACAATCAAAATGGCCGCGCGTGCGGGCAGGCGACGGTCGACGGGTGCTCGCTGGTCGGCGGGGTGGTCGTCGTCCACGGGTGAGACGACTTGCGGAACGCAGTGCATGCGCCACTGACCGGTAATATATTACCGTGTATAAGGTCGTCGTATCACGGAGCAATTGCTATTTATTTTATCATGACCCTAACTTTAACAGTGGGGATAGGGTATTAAAGAGACGAATCTTCCTAGGAAAAAAATGTTTGTGGCCGTATATAATATTGCCTACATTTAGCCCCTTTTTTGCAGCTATCAAAATGTGTTAACATTGATAAATCAATAATATCATTTTTATTTGTAGTAGTTTTATATATTGCTAAATTTAAATTAAAATAGTTAAATAATTTTAATAATATATAATTCGAAAAAAATACACAATATTCACTTACGATCGTCATTTAAAAGATACATTTCAACAATATATTAAGAAATTCATTTTCTTTTAATGCTATAAGAATGATCGTCATATGAATGAACATTTAAAACATCGCTTGTATTATTTATTAAGAATTTTCTTATTATATTACAACATTGAAATGTTTATAATATGAGTGTTATGGGCTAAATAGGGTGACCCGTCATTTGATCCGGTAAATGATTTCGGGCGACAAATGATCCGCGACATTTGGTCCGGTGAAAACATATTCTGTATTAAAAATATCCGATAATTTTTTTATTGTTATTCAAAATATGAAAAATAAAAATAAATAATATAGTCTTATAATCGAACATTTTTTAAACAAAAACATGTTATTTTTAAGTAAAATATTATATATAATTCAGAATATAAATATCTCTATAAGTCTTTAAACTATAAAATTAAAAATTGATATTATGAGCGATGCCTTTTAAATAATTAAGCAAATTGGTATAATCATAATTTTGTACATTTTTTTAAACGTTTGTCAAGGTTCTTATTTTTTCCTGGATTAATCTCACCTAAATTAATTTTCTCGATTTTTGTCTCTTACAGCTCTTGTTCTTTCTTCAAGAAGTTGATAAATTTCCATATCGTGGTATGGTGAGATCCTAAACTTGTATTAAAAGCATGATGCCAACCCTCAACAGCGTTATTAGTAGTTCGAGGGAAATCCATAACTACATAATTGTAATAGTTCCACATTTCTATGGGAAATATTGGATTTTTTCTTCTTCTACGAACTGTACGCTCAATCCAAGTTTCTTCGAAATAATATTATTATATTATTATATTATAATATAATATTATATTTTGTCAGTCTGTACTATTCTTATAATCTAAGACTTGACGATATCATACTAATTTTATTTGAAACAAATTTAAACGTACAGAATATCACTTTTTGTAGTAAAAAACATTTATAATAATTACTTAAATAACTATTTTAAACAAATTTGTCAATTATGAAAAATTATCGGATATTTTTTCCCCGGATATTTTTGATACAGGATATGTTTTCATTGGACCAAATGTCGCGGTTCATTTGTCGCCGGATATTATTTACCGGGTCAAATGACATGGAACCGCCAAATAGTTAGTAAAATATATTAATAATCCAATTTTGTATTTTAAATACTGCGCAAGATGATTTTGCAACAAATTTAGGAATAGATGGTTTTTGTATTTGGAAATGACTAAATCTTTGTTGATGGGATCCATGGTTAAAACTTGAAATTTTAAATTTTAAACTACGATATTGTATTTTTTCGAATTGCATATTATTAAATGTATTTAACTATTATAATTTAAGTTTAGCAATGTATATAACCATTAAAATGAAAATGATGTTATCATTTTATCAATGTTATCACATTTTGATAGCTGCAAAAAAGGGGTTAAATGTAGGCAATATTATATATGAACACCAACAATTTTTCCCTGCTAAGGTTATTCCTCTAAAGAGGGCTGTAACCAGGGATGTCATTTGGAGGGGGGCAGACTATGGAAAATGCTTCACTCTAAGAAATTTTAAAAAGTCGGCAATTATTTGTCCGATAATCAAATGGTAAATTCGGTAAATAGTATATTTTTATTTACTATTTTATAATCAAAAATCAGATAATTCTCTATTAAATACACCTTCACGGTTTATTAAAAGTTGAGAAACACTGGTTCCTCCCCGATTAGGTCATAAATTATGACAATTGTTATTACACGAACCTTATACATTTTATTTTTTGTATATATAATATTTTTGGGTCCTGAGGCATGGATAAAGTAAATTTATTTTATCATGTTCTGAGGCAAGTTTCTTTAACAATGTTTGAGAAGCATCAAGTTCATTTTTTCTTTGAATCTTCTAACGTACCACCAATAAATATTCCAACAGAAAACAACACTGATATAAGCAACGCGCTAACCCCTTTTACATCACGTTCCAATAACGTCAACACCAACACAAGAAGAAAAAACGCTCATTCCCTCAACTGACACAAATAAAAGACCAGCACTATCCTCAACATCATCAAGTCTCGATACCAACTCTCCACCCCCTAAATCATATTCCCAAAACACGACTTCAAATAGTACTACCCATTCGACTTCAAATCCAAATAAAATAATTCATCCATTAACCAAAAAAGTAAAACGCTCCAATTCCATTGATCAAATAATATTAAAGCTAGACGAAATATTTGAACCCATAAAAACCAGTATTGAGGTAATATCGAACAAGAAAATAAATTACGAACAATTCAAGTACATAATCGAAAACACTCTTAGCATATCTAACCCAGCCCCGGTACTAGAACAATTCAACATCACATGTCTAGAAATGATCGAAATGATCGATACCGTCCGACCTAAAATGAACAGTCTTAGTATAAAAAACAGACTTACGAGACTATGCAATACTCTCCTCGATAAAGCCCTCTCCACTGACCCAAACAACCCTCAATAAATATATATAAACAAAAATCAATATAAAATGCAGTCACAATATACAAATATAGTTCAATGGAACCTCAATGGACTCTGTAAAAATATCGACGAAATCAAACTTATAATTAATTTACATCAACCTATCGCAATATGTCTCCAAGAGACGAATCTCAAATACGATGAATCTCCCCCTAATATAAACAACTACCAATACGCAAAAAAAAATCGCAGCGATTGCCGGAGGGCCAGTGGCGGCGTGTGCACCTACATTAATAACTCCTTTCCTTGGGAAGAAATTCCTACTCAAACAAACCTAGAAGCAATCGCGATAACAATCACTCTAGAAACAAAAACTACCCTCTGTAATATATACATTCCAAATCAATCCAGCTTCACACTCACAGATTTAGAAAACATTATCAAACAATTACCGAGACCCTTTATCATAGTAGGAGACTTTAACAGCCATAGTCTTACATGGGGCTCATATAAAACTGATTCAAGAGGAAAAATTATAGAAAAATTACTAGAACAAGATAATATTGTCATACTAAACAACAACGAGCAAACCCGAATAAATCCTTCAAATAGAAACCTTTCAGCTATCGACCTATCTTTCTCTACACCCACAATAGCACATAGACTTAACTGGCAAGTATTAAACGAAATATATAATAGTGACCACCTTCCAATCTCTATACAATTCATCTCCAACTCATCTCAATCGAGACACTCTACAATAAAATGGAACCTCAAAAATCCTGACTGGATACTTTTTGCTAACCTTCTCCAAATTAAAACCAATGATTCAGATTACACCAACAATGAAGTAAATATCGATAAAACAGTCGCTAAATTTACAGAGAACATCATTGAGGCAGCAGAACAAACAATCGGCTACTCAAAATCTTTCAACAAAAAACCACAAGTCCCATGGTGGAACAATGAAATAAAAAAATATATTTCTCTCAAAAATAAAGCACTTAAAACATTTATAAAAACAAGATCACTCGAGGACCATATTAAACTAAAAGAACTCAGAGCTAAAACAAGATTCTTAGTTAAAACCAATAAAACTCAAACATGGCGAAACTTCACATCCAACATCGGAGCTCAAGTCGATCCCCACATAATGTGGAACAAAATTCGTTCATTACAGGGTCGAAAAAAACATAACAATATATACCTTATCACCAACTCATCGTTAAACACTAATCCATCTTCAATTGCTCATCACCTAGGACAATATTTCCAAAAAAACTCTAGCAATGAAATGTACAGCCACGATTTCTTAAAGGAGAACGCAAACAAACCTCCACTCCATCCCTCTCCAATAGCACCGCAAAATATCCATCAGACCAATTTAAATAGTCCAATTACATTACATGAAATCCAGTTAGCTCTTAAAAGATGTAAAAGCAAAAGTACAGGACCGGACAATATTCCTTATAGTTTTATACAAAACTTTAGCAATGATACGCTCCAAATACTCCTACAAATTTACAACACCATCTGGAACCACAACGTATTCCCACAAAACTGGAGAAACAGTATTGTAATCCCTATCATTAAACCAGGAAAAAACAAATTCTCACCGGAAGGATACCGTCCCATTTCCCTTTTAAATTCTCTATGTAAACTTTTAGAAAAAATTGTAAATCAACGTTTAATATGGTTCTTAGAACAGTCTAATTATTTCACGCCTGAACAATGTGCATTCCGCAAAAATAAAGGTACATACAACTGTCTTTCTAAAATACATACAGAAATACAAAACACATACTCAGAGAATCAATATTTAGGTATGATTAGTTTAGATTTGATGAAAGCCTACGACACAACATGGAAACCATATATACTAAATAGTCTCTCTAAAGTACTCAGCCAGAATCAATTATTCAATTTTGTCAGAAATTTTCTAAAAACAAGAACATTCCAAGTAAGAATTAACCATACGCTATCGGAGGTGTTCTCACAGATTAACGGAGTCCCTCAAGGATCAACCATATCCGTTACTCTTTTCCTTATAGCCATCAACAATATCACTCAAAACATATCCGTACCTGTCCAATCTACCCTTTACGCGGATGACTTTAACATTTATTGCCGAAGCAAAAACCTAGAAACAGTCCAAACCCACCTACAACTCGCCA